TTGGCAACATCTGAGGACCTCTGCCATCCTTGTTTCTGATTAGGAGTAAATGGGTGAATTTAAATGCAGTGGTGCAAAGAGGTGTGTCTGGTGACTTCTTTGTGTTCTTTTCCACACCAGGTAAATACCCTTTTATTTTCCCAGTATTCTAATAATTTAACTTCTAAATTTTGCTTTTATATATTCCATTTTCTTCTGTAGTGCTGCTGTGCTTCTGTGCTGAATCATAGCAATAGCAATTGTTATTATGGTTTTATTTTTTCAAATTAATGTGTGTGTGTTTTAAAACTTTGTTTAATTTAAACTTTTGTTAACCATCCAGAGAGCTTTGGATATTGGGTGACATAAAAACAAACAAATAAACCATGGTTACTTCTGAAAGTGACATGATTTTTTAAAATAAAATAAAACTATCTTTCAGTGAGAACATCAAGTTCTGTGGTATAGTAGAATTAGAGGTACAGAAAAAAATCTACATCATAGGCATGTATTCAGGAACTCAGAACGATGTGGCAAAGGATTTATTATGATTTCTTTCATGGTGAGCCACATATTAGGAAGGTTATTGTGGAATCCCTTGTCTGAGATCTGACTTCCTTTCTAGCACCAGTTGACTGAGATGAAATGCAACCATGTTCTGTTTGGGTCACCCTGCAATTGGAAGCATTCCATTTGGAAGTCTTATGAAAGATGCATTTTGTGCATATTCCATAAGTTAGTGGATGAAATGGGGGGGATGAAATCATAAATGTTTAAATGGAAAATATTCTTCCAGATTTTCTGTTTAGAAGATCTACACTTGCTTAAAATCAATAAAATTGTAATTGTTTAATGTGTTCCATCTCCTGAAACAGAGGATACAATTCACAATTTTATATAGACCAAGAATCCGGTTGAAGTGGACAGTTAAAAATGAAATAAAATAAAAATGTAATTACAATGAATAGGCTTGTGAGCCTGGAAACTAATTTTGTTCAAGTTAAAATGCTGGCTATATTTGCTTGTTGGGGATATTTGTATCTGTGCAGAGTGTTCTATAAAAACAGGTTGAAAATCAAAATCCAGCGCTTACTAATGAGGTCAGGCCGTGAAACATGCTGATTTTTTTATATACCAAAGCTGTAATGATCAACTGAACAACATGTTTCTCAAATGAAAATGGTGAGAAGATAATATGATGTACTGTGTATATTCCTCTACAATTTCTAAATATTGAATATTGTTAATTTTACAAAATTATGTTTGCATTGAACGTGTTAAGAATGTGTCCTTCTTTGTGAGGAATGCCTCAGATCGGATAATGACCTACAACATGGGTAGGCAACATGTCGGCTTTTTCCCACCCCTCAAAGACTTGACTACGGCTTTCATTGCTTGGGCTGTTCTGCAGCCAATTTGCCATGGAAAAAGCTACCCTCGCCACCTTTTGGGTCACTTCCTCCTCTTAATGAGAAGCAGCCTGTGAAGCATTTCCTTTGTGGCCACAGAGTAGCAGCCTCAGAGAAAAGGTGCAAGCCAGCATTGCCACAAGTCACACCACCATTGAAAATGTGACTTGAATACCATGGTGCAAACCACCAACATTCGTCCCTTCTCCCATCCTCCTCTCCGCCCAGTGCTGTGGAGAGGAGGCCATTTTGCAAGCTGCTGTGGGCAGGAAGCACTTTCATTGCTTCTCTCCATGGGTTATTTTTCTGCCTTACTGGAGGGAAGGCAAGTCAATCTTCCTGGTTTTGCATCACAAGAAACAACCCAGGGACATGCACCAACCCATTGCTATACACAGCAACCTGACAGTTAAAGAAAGCTAAAAACAACACTGGGTGGTTGTGATGTCTGAGCTAAGCCAGTGATGGGGGAGGGGGACAAAGAGCTCCAAATTCCAGGTAAAGATCCAGATCAATACATAAATGATCAATACATAAATGTAAGATGCTGAGGAGGAGTATGTGTGTTGAGTACGACGCAGGTCTCTGATGCATCATCTTTTGCTTGGTGGGAAGGCCCTTCTCACTCCTCAGAACCCAAATATTAAAAGAAGAAAAGAAATTGTGTGTATACAAAAGCGAATACAGAACTGAGAGAATGTAGAGGTTAAAGACAATAGCCACTATAGAAATAATCAGAGGAAAAATGGAATATAAATCTGTGAACTAAATAAATGAATTAGGTTTAAGATGTACAGGCATTTGCTATGAGATTCAAAGTGCGTACATCCAACCTAGGCAACTTAAGACAGCAGTGAAACCTTCCAGCTCAATTTGTATTTGAGTGATGTTTTCTAGTTATGACATACAAACTCAGCATGCTTCCTCCCCCAGTCTCACTGTTCAACATATAGATATTATTTGTATGTTTTGGGTTTACATTGAGATGATTATCTAAACACAGTTTTAGTTTTCAGTTTAGTTTAGTTTCTCCCTCCCTCCTTCTGTATGCCAATTTTAATGTTATGTTACACTTCTGTAAGTGAGAAATGAACATAAACAAGTTTTTTTTCCGGGATAACTATAGAGGCATTCTTCTTTATATTCCCCCTTTACTTATAAAAGTGCAGTTTAAAACGGGCAGATAAAAGGTGCTTTTCTCAGAGCGTTTCTTCACAGCCTTCACAGTGAATCATGGCAGAGGCCTCAGAATTCAATAATAGCATGAAGTGGACGGGCCTCTTAATACACGGTGCTGAGCTTGAAGTGATTAACCAAGTTGTTATTCTCTGAAAAGAAATGAAGCCATTTAGTCATTGAAATACAAGATTTTATATCCTTGTCAGCCCACTTCCTCGATCAGCAGTGTCAATATGCACACAAAAATGGGGATTTGCTAAAAGCTTTCTTCAGTTCATGAGAACTCATTTCCATGGGGTGGTTACTCCACCTCAAGCATATCAAGTGCATGCAGGGCTTGGTTGATTAATTCTCATCCAGAAGGTGCTCCAGCCAGGATGGGGGTTGGACAGGCGTGTCTGTCCACATATGATCCTTGTGATGTTTGTAAATGTGGCAACTAAAGGAACCACACCATCAAAATTAATGCAATCAGTTCTTCTTTCTTGCTTCCTTTTCAAAAATATCCATCTAGGGGGCATGACCTGTTTGGTACCTAGGCCTCTTTAGTTCTCAGCTGTGGTGCCAGAGGGTATACATGTTCATGCTTGCACGCATGCTCACACAAATGCGTGCACTCACACATTGACAATCCCCCCTCCACATGCTCTTTTCCTCCCACTACAGGCACCCGTCCTCAACAGTTCCCTTTCCCCTAACTTCTTAGTAGGGATGATGGCAGAGTTTCTCTTGTCAATACAATACAAATTCTGGGTTTTTTAATCCCAGGAGAACTCTGACTAAGGTTCCCATGGCTCCGCTGCATGGACTGCCCTGGAAGTGGCTGAGGGCTATAGGCTCTTTATTCCTGATCCAGGTGGACATAATCAGACACAGTGAACTGGATACGTAGGACCTTATTTTTTGCTTGCAAATATCACTTGCTACATGGAGTGCTGCATTAATAATTTGCAAGGTTTTAAAATGAAGTTAGTTGGTCTAATAAGACCTGGTTTTCTCAAGTTTTAATCTGTGCTCCTAAAAAAAGAGGAGGAGGAAACACATTCTGATCCCTTTTTTTAAGATTAGGAAATGTAAATGCAAGGGAACAGTTTTGGGAGCTCCTCTGGCCCCACTTCTCTCTTTCCATTTCTTTCTAGCCTTTGTCCATTTATGTACATCTTGTCTTTAATAAGAATCAGCTATGCTTTGACAGGTTGTGAAAAATTCATTCCTGGTGCTTTCTTCACCATCTTAGGTAGACTTACCACTGTGAAGAACTCTTCCCATTACAACAGTCAGTCTTAAAGTCTGCCTATATATCAGCTGTACATTTCCCACAAATATGAGAAACACTGAAGTATCTATGACTAGAGTGAAGTTAGCAGGTGCTGTCATATTGGATTATTTCTTACTAAATTGATTCTAGATCAGGAGGTGAGATTTTTCTTCTGTTCCATAACAGGCACACTTCTGAAACAGGTGCAAAATGTAGTCTGGTTATCCTTTTGGTCAGATCACATACATACATACACATATAGTATTTGGCCTTTTGGTTTTTTGGTACAAGCTGTGCTGTTTGTATAGGTAAAATAAGGAAAGTATAGTATGCTGATTCTCTGTCACTGTTGAAACTCTGTGGGAATTAAAACAATATCCGTTTTAAAATGTAATGCAATGAAGTCCTTGATGTTGGGAATGATTGACAGCAAAAGAAGGGGATGGCAGAGGATGAGGTGGCTAGATGGAGTCACTGGGGCAGTAGGTGTGGGCTTGGGTGGACTCTGAGGGATGGTGGAGGACAGGAGAGCCTGGAGGAATGCTGTCCATGGGGTCGTGATAGGATTAAGCAACAAACAACAAAATGAAGTCCTTATATTTCTTGGGGACTAGACCCTTAGCTTCTAGAAATGGTTACAGTTGTAATGATGCCAGTGGAAGCAACATGGGAAAAGGTTTTTTTTACAACAAAGTATAACACATTACTGGTAATTTAACTCATTTGTTGTTGATTACAGAGAAAAGTAATCTCTTGGGTGTTAATGATCCGAGGGATACTTTTAACGTGTTAGAACTAGGCTTCATTTCTGTAAGGTCATCTTCGTGGTCTGTGTGCATCACACATGTGGGCATTGCTCCGCAGCACAAGGCCTAGATCGGAGGGAAATGTCTACCCCTAAACATCACAGAGTGGGTGGGAGCCCCCCACCTCTTCCAGGGCTTTGGATAAGAAGGGGAGAGCTCCTGCCCACTTCCCCAGTTTCTTTTCAACTGCAAGTCTTGCTGCATCACCTGATTGGTCTAAAAAATTTGCTGCTTACCTCTGCCTTTTTCCTTCACTCGTTTCTTAAAATTTCTGTCACTGCAGTTTGTGGTTCTGTTGTACAGATTACTAAAGACTAGTGGAGGAGAATTTGCCTGAAATTGTTCTTTCCCATTTCCCTCCCTTTTCAGATTCATTCTCTTAAAGTGTCCAGGCCCAGGCTTGGAGAAACCAGCCGTCACCATTGAGCCCAGCAGCTGGAGCGGCAGTGAGAGTCCTGCCGAGGACATTGAAAGAATGAGCGATTCTGCGGATAAACCTATTGACAATGACGCAGAAGGTGTCTGGAGCCCAGATATTGAGCAGAGTTTCCAGGAGGCATTAGCTATATATCCCCCTTGTGGGAGGAGGAAAATCATACTGTCCGATGAAGGCAAAATGTATGGTAAGTCATACAGATCCAACCCATTTGAACAGTGTTCAGTCCACATGGCATGAAGTCACCTAAATGTTGAGATGAAAGAACAGATTCTTCAAAAAAACTTGTCAGGAGTTCTAATGAAACGTGTTCCATGCCATTTTGTATCACAATTTTCCAGGAATGAGGAGGACCGTGCCAGTACGTGGAGAGGCAGCCTTGCTGTGCTGGTCAGATCTACAGTAAAAGATTGGTGTAAGGACATTTCTTGAGCAAATTAACTGTGGGAATACAGCAACACATCTTAGCTCAAACTTCTGTGCACCATTTTGCTTTATCTCAGTTTTCTTATTTGTCTGTGACTCAAGTTGAAAAATTCACTGAAGTTGATTAGTTGATTTTCAGAACTCATACACTTATATGTTTTTAATTTTAAAAACAAGTTTAACCAAAACTTGTAAATATTTTCAAACAGTATGGCATGCCTAAGACAAATGAATGCTTGACAAATTTATAGAGCACTTTAAAAAGAAGATCCATCATGAACTTGCAATTAGCAGTGTATTTATTTGTAGGAGATCAGGCAGTAAATAAGCACTTTATTGCAGCTATATTAGTCTGAAGTTTTCTGAATTTCACAGTTAGTTTCAGGGAGCAGCTGCATAGTTTTTCCTTCTACTTTGGGCTGCCATAAATTACCATGTGCTGACAGAATTTCATAAGTATATTTGATGTTTCCCCCATCTAGGAATAAGGAGTTTTTACTGTTTTGTTCTTTCCACGTTGTTTCAGCTAATCTCTGACTTTGGAGACTTAAGCTGCTTTTCCCCGCTGCCCCCATCCCACAATCCCTTCCTTTTCAAAAATTATTGCTGACTGTAGAGTTTTAGTTCTGGCTTCTTGCACTGGGAAAAGCAGATGGCAGGTTGTTGCTTTGCTCTTTATTCTTCCCTAATCACTGAGTGTTTAGCGATTTTGTCTTTTGTGTAGTCGCGCTTTCCAAGCGATCAGGAATCCTTACCTGATGAATCTTTTTCCTGGCCATTGGAGAGTAACTTATTCTCCACAATTGCAAATATGTTTCACACAATGGGGTGTTTTGTCTTGAGACAGAGTCTCTTCCCCAGAAAGGTTCAGTAGGAATCTGTAGAGCAAACTCGCATGCACTGTAAGTGGAAAGCAGATGGTACTGCGGCTGCCACCAGCTGTGTGCCCCTCCCTCTCCCCCAGTACTGGTTGGATGATGTAATGGAAATGTGGGGGGGGGGTTCTTTCTGTGGTGTCGGAGTCTCTCACAGCCTGTCAGTGTCACAGAGAGGCAGAAACAGACCTTAAGGCGTTAGTTTGCAGCTGTCATGTGACCCTGGAAGCCAAATGAAACATAATGTCTGGAAAAATAGGCTTGTGATGAACCATCTCAGCTGCTGTTGGCAGAAACTTTCTAGGCCTTTCTTTTCCTGCTGGATTCCCGCCTCTCTCATTTGTATCAAAATACTACCGTTTTCCTTCTTTCCTTGTCTCCCCCTCTCCATCCTGATGTATTTCCATCTTGCTTGTTTGTTTAGATGATTGGTGATAGGGTGGTTTGTCAGCATAAAATTAGGGGAAATTAGTTTAACGTGGTTGTTAAATTCCTTGAAGAAGAACAGATATGTGGGTGTGTGCAGTGGATTGAAAGATACTTCAGTACCTGAAATTCCCCAGCCCCCCCCCCACTGCATGTATTACTGTAGATTGACTTTTGAAATATGTATTTTATAAGAGTTGCCTTATGATGAATCAATAATATAGCTGCAGCATTATTTTTGTCTTAGTTTCCTGATAGAGACCACATAGACATTAGATTTTTCTCTACAGCTAATTCCACTAGAGTATGGATCTGGAAAGATTATTCAGCAGTAAATACAAAATAATTGCACTGATCAAGGTAAGATGTGAGAAAGGAAGTGGCAAAAAGTCTACTACTTAACTATGACTGGTAAATGCATCTAGCATGCATTCTGATTTCATTAGTGCTGCAGAATTGCTGTGGTTCTTAAAAACCATTCTTGCAGTTCAGTTGACATTTTTGTGCTTTGTCAATTAAATGTCCAGATTGTAGCTGAACTTTGATTTAAGGTACTGCCACCATTCCGGGTGGGGTGGGGGACTCTGGGGAAATGCAGATGGCCATGTTAGTACAATTTATATCCTGATTCTCTCGCATCAGATGAACTCATGTTTTCATTCTTCAAGCTGAGCACTGCTTTGTAGCATTTGAGGATTTATTGAAACCATGCTATGTTTTTGAGGACTTCATAATAGAGTCTTATGGCCCTAATAGCATAATTGTTCTCTGAGGAGTTTGAAATGAAAACATTGTAAGTGTTATAGATACAGTGAGGAATAATAGTAATAAGAAGGAATACCTTTGGTGACATATTACGTTAGTTTCAGCAGGGAAATTATTGCATTTCAAAGCTTCCACAGAGTTGGGGTTTTTTTTGTAATTTGACAGCAACCATCCATGAATTGTACAAGACAGGAGGTGAAAGAGCATGCCCATTCATTTTCTGATTGAAATTGTCTTTCAATAAGTTGACGTCTGCAGCAAATTGCGGAGAGTGGGGTGGTGGTAATCTGAAATTTTATACACATGGAGGAGATTCCTTAGCACAGGGCAGTCATACTGTTGACTTACTAAAGAGAGGGAATTCAGAAGTAAGTGAGCGTAGGATCACACTCTGCAGAATGGTCCACACGTTGCACTCTTATCTTCTCTACCTATACAGGCCTCTGCAGGAGAGATGAGATTTCCTTCCCTGGAAGCTAAAAAAAAAAGGCAGCACGGGTTGAAAGTGCTTCTGTTGTTTGCTTGCTCTTCCCTGTGCCTTTTGCTCCTGGCTAAGAGAGAGCTGTTGCAGCTGTCAGCCCTCCTACACAATGCAGAATTCAAGCATGTGGTTGATTTTGGAATCAGCTTTGGTCCCTACTTTAGCAACAATAGTTTGCTTGCTTTGGCCCTAACCCTTAGAACACTCATACAGGTGTTTGTGCTGCAAGATGGGAAATAAAGTTTTAAGAGAAGGACTTATAGGTAGACTGAAAAACCTAAGGTCAGTCTTCAGCATCTCCAGGTATGGAAAAACCTCTGCCTGAAACCCTGCTCAGCTGCTATCACAGAACTGTATTAGATGCTCTTGAGCTTCCTAAGGGTGCTAGATCTTGGTTCAATATGCAGTGCTCATGGTGGATTTGGCCAGAAACATGGGACATGGCAACAGGATAGGCTTTTATTCCAAGTATGATGACCTATTATAGCCTCAGTTGTTATGCTCAATCCTATTTATCTGTTGAAATAGCAGTGCTGAATTATATTTAAAATCATGATTGGTTGCATCAAGAAAAGGGAAGCGATATGGGATTCAGAATTTGGGGGACAAGTAAAACAGTTCTGCTGAAAACTTTTATTCTGCTTCCAAAATGATAAAGCCATAGTTTTTATGACATCATTACATGATGCATATTCCAACCATAATGTGTGCATTGTCTTAGAAATACTATTCTCTCCGGCTAAATGTTACGTGATAACGAAATTGGCAGTGGTTCACCATCTTTAAGCCTACATCTGTTTGCAAAAACAAAAAAGCAGACATCTCTGAGATCAAATTAAATCTGCATTGCTGGGAAGGATCCTCACAACTTCCACTGTTTCATTTGGGGCAGCATGACTGAGTAGTGGTGAAGGTAGTCTGCTATGGCATTAAAACTAGCATTATTGTAAGCGAACGTCTTACCTTCCACTATTTGACATTTGGATTCTGGTGTAATAGAGTCTTTGAAAATCATGTGTTTTGTTCCATACAGAAAACACTGGTGTTAAATGAGATGAGATGCGTGTCTCAACATATGTAGAAGTCTACTCTTTAGAAATTGATGGCCTAGTTTTCAGAGTTCTGGATTGGCTTAGATACCAAACAATGTGAGCTTTTCCTTCCATAGTATGAGTACCAGAAGGGATTCCTGTGCTCTGATGCAGTATTTCTCCTGTCTCAGTGTTGATTTTACTTGCAGCATCTGCCCCACTCTGTCATACACGTCTGAACCCTGCTCATACATGGATTGTTTATAGGGCACTCTTTCATGTGCTGTTTATAGACAACTGCACTCTGTGTGCAGATGTCACGCCTAATGTAAGGAGCAGCCAGAAGGAACCCTGCTTCTGTTTTGCCATGGAACTGTCCAATATGCAAGTAATTGGAACAGGATCCTCCAAAGGGAAGTGTAGTCTGAATGTGAGCACAGTGCAGGGTCCGGCACACTTTTGACCACCAAATAAGGTTTGTGGAGACATTATAAGAAGGTAATTGGTAGATTGTAGCAGCAGCCTTTTCCCTCAGATTTGTCTGGTTAATTCCAAGTGATTTGCTAATAAAGCTCCTTTATTGGTGCTCTTCCCATGACACCTCAAAACCATATTGCTTTAAGCATCCTAACATTCACTATCATGACAGACTTATTGTACTTGCATACTACTCTGTGAGCTTTCGGTGTGCCACCAAGAGGTAATTGACCCTTAATCATGAGTATTTCATATGCCATAAATTAATAAAGTCAATTTGCAACCTCAGGAAAAGAATTTCAGCTGTTCTTAAATCAAGGCATCAGAACTGCCTTTGTGAAAGCTTTCTTATGTAGTGGAATCTTTTACTAATACAACTCTTTATATCATGAGAAGTATTTATTAAAATATAGAACTTTTCCTTGAATATAAATGCTTGGCTTTGATTTCTCATTCGTGAGAGCCTATAGCCATGGCTTTGCAGTTCTGACACACAAAATCTAGAACTAACCTAAAGGGCATTAGCTGGTCCTTGTTTGTGCTTAGTCCTGACAAGCTCAAATTGTTGGCCTTTTTTGTTGATAGTTTAGTTTCTTCTAGTGATTCCTGTGGACTTGCTTATTGCCAAGGTACTTGCCTGAACATGTCTCTGCTTCAGGAAGCACCATGTTAGAGAAAGGTAGCAAGAATTAGGACTGCAGACATA